ACACAGTCACAAGATGGAGGAATAGAAAGCAGTATTCAATGTTTACTTCAGATTAGCTCCACGTCAGAAATGAGCATGCTTGATGTCTCTCTCCATAGAGGCTGAATCATCATGTTAATCACATAGCTATCATATGCCTCAAACAGTCCTGATGCTCTTCTAGGTAATCACACATCCTGTCATGTTCACAGCTACAGTTGGGATACCTTTGTTATCATGTTACTCGTGTTGGAAGAGGACATTCAGTGTTTTCCCAACAGCACACCATGGAGGTGATTTAAAGCTTCGGACTTAACTGTTTGTCCACAGAGGGACAGCGGGGACGAAGAGGACATGGAGAAGAACAGCGAGGATGAGGAGGGTCAGCTGGAGGAGCAGATCGACCGGCTGCAGGAGAAGGTGGAGTCGGCTCAGAGCGAGCAGAAGAACCTCTTCCTCGTTATCTTCCAGGTACGCATTTCCTCCTGTTCTCCTTTTTAATGTCAAATGCGTCCTGAGCCGTTTCTCAGAATAGCCCTACCATGTCACTGCAGAAATGTGACTATAGACAAGAGGACACACAACTAAATGTAATTTCATTTCTCCCCCCCCCCAGCGCTTCATCATGCTGCTGACGGAGCATCTGGTCCGCTGTGAGACGGGCAGCGCGGACATCAGCACGCCCTGGTACAAGAACTGCATCGAGAGGCTGCAGCAGGTCTTCCTCATGGTGAGACACACACACACACCATGTATACATCACTTCAGGGGACATTACATTGACTTACATGCATTTCCTGGAGACTTATCCTAACCTTAACCATAACCAACACATGCCTAACCCTAAACCTTAACCTTACCCTTACCCTAACCCTTACCCTAAACCTAACCAAGTCTTCACCCTAAAATTAATGATTCCCCTCATGGGGTCCTCCATTTTGTCCCCATAAGGGTGGCGAGTCCCCACATGTGACTGTAAACAGATTTAGGTCCCCACAAGTATAGTAATGCTAGACCACACACACACACAGCAGTAACCTAATGTGTGTAACCTCTCCTCTCCTGCAGCACCATGTGACCATCCAGCAGTACATGGGCACTCTGGAGAACCTGCTGTTCACCGCAGAGCTGGACCCCCACATCCTGGCTGTGTACCAGCAGTTCTGTGCCCTGCAGCTCTGAGACACACACACACGTAATTGGAGGAAATGTGTACCCGTGTTCTCGCAGTACCTGTGCTAAACACATTAGAAACTACCAGCTCTTGCATCAAGAATCTCCTCATTAGTTTTTGTTTTTATTTACATATTTCCGTGCCATTGGACATGTTAGCTTCTTTCAACCGAGGATGTCTTTCAGTAGGAATTCAAACGAGTGAGACCGATCCTCCGTCATTAATTTGCTGTAGTGTTTTCCTTTCTTTGTCTTGTTTTTGCTTGTTTCAAGTTTTACTTCCTGCTCGTATTCTTATGACCGGGTGTTTTTAAAACGGTCTGAGTCCAGACGGAGAGGCGATGGAACAGCGAGAGCTTTCAGTCAGAGCGCTCTACTTTTTTACATTTGTTTTATGTGGAATTGGGAAATGATTAAAACTCTGCAGAGTCTTTATCCGCCGCCTGTCTGTCATTTTCTTCAGCTTCAAAACATTTCCCATCTGGTGTATGTTATTCTGATGGTGCAGATGATCTGAGAACATACAGGGAGGAACAGATCATAAATGACTTCATGCATCGTGGGGAAACGCCTGTTGAATCTTCATCGGCTGCAACTGCAAATTAATCGGCATCCAAAAATGATTTAGTCTAAAACACAATCTAATATTCCCTTTATATTTCAACAGAGCACTACATAGTATATTATTTTTAACCCTTAGATGCATAAGTGGGTCTTTTTGGACCCGGTGAGTTGGTTTTCTTGAAGTATCTTTGTAATTACATTTTTTTATCATTTCATATTCCAGCTATTCCTCAAAAAACATGTTTTGGATTTCATGCCATTCAAATTTTAAGTTTACATTTTAAGAAATTGTAGTTTTTGTATTTCTACCCCAAGCTTCCATAAGTGGGTCGAAAATGACCCGCGTGCATTTCCTATGGGAACCTTTGATTCTTATCAGCTGTTGCTGTCAGGACTACATTCACTGTGGACCACACAGACTACATCACAAGTGACACCTCTCAGGAAGATTGTTTTAGTAAAATAATCTTATTATTATTATACTGACAGGTATGAGATCTTGCTGTGTAAAATAATTGTACACAGCAAGATCTGATACCTGTCAGTATAATAATAATACATTATATTTGTATAGGGATTTTCAAGGACTCAAAATCGCTTTCCAATATAAGGGAAGGTTAGGAGGGGGGGGGGGGGGGGGGGGTATAGGACTATCAAACTTGATCAACCGGCATGGATTGATGGGGGGTGGGCTGAATGTCAAAAAAACATGTGTCCTGTAAAATATAATACTAAATATTATACAAGTGATTTTTCTTAACCAAAATGGCATAAAAACATATTATTCTAATACGGGTCCTTTTTGACCCACTTATGGAAGAGTGTAGGGTCCAGTCACTCTAAGGGTTAAGCACCTTTAATACTACATCTGCAGCTTTTACTATATGGAGAAAGAAACAATTAATTTGCTGGAGCAGAGATTACTAATCGTAATTTTTTTGTACTTTAATTTTCTTTTGAATTTGGGAAGCTTAACCCTTACCTGCTATATATTAAGTATATAATATACTGTTGTGCAACAATACACAGTCAGACAAATGTGCCCTTTTCTTTGTATTATACCAAGCTTTTAAACTAGAGCCCTAGCTTCAGACATTTTCTCATGTCTTTCCTACAGAGCAGATACATGACACTCTTCTGGTTTAGAACGAGGGGAATTGAAGTTGTTTTGTGTGTTTGGTGAAATGTATAAATAATAATGTTGCTGCTATTCATTGACAAATCCAGAAAGTTGATACAACGTTCCTCCTAGTACTAATTCCCCGCTCTTAAAACAGTTGCATTAATAAACAAAAAAAGGGTTCAGATTTAGAAAATTAAAAAACATTTGATTCTTTTTTCGTCTTTAAAGATTTAACACAATGAAAAATAATTATATATTTGATTGAAGGACTTTTAGAGCAACTTCTCTTAGTGGGCACAAAGGGTTAATGTTGATATTTCAAAATAGACAGTGTGAAAATTGTCAACTTTAAACTCTAGAGCAGGGATGGGCAACTTGGATGGTGGTGGGGGCAACTTGATGTACTGGCCACCAGGGGGCCGCAGATTCACTTGGAACACACACACACACACACACACACACACACACACACACACACACACCACACACACACACACACACACACAAACTCCATGTATTGTATGTAATTATTAACAAATTAAGTCTGACATCCTCATTGACATTTTATCTTTCAGGGAACATCCTCTAATAAACTCACTAAACAAATATCAGTCCACAGAAATGTTGTTTAATTTTTACAAGTGGCATGTTTGTATTGAACAGGTTATTTAACAGTGGAATAAAGATAAACTATTGGAAAGCACGGAAATGTGTGCATTAAGATTAACCATTAAGATGACATAAACATGAAGTCATGAACACTAACCCAGACATTAGTTGTCTAACTTTAACCTAGCTAAGAAGACACTTGTAGCCTGTCTGCATTCCCCTTATTCCACAATAAGGGGAATGTCAACACTCAACACAGACACCCGTCAACCCGCACTCTGCTGTTCCTCAGCGCCGCTCCCCCTCCCTCCCTCCCGCTGATATTATGAATTAAAAGCGTATAGTAATCATAGATAACACGGCAGGGTCTGTGACAGTTTGTTTTCATCTGATTTAAAATAAACAAAGTCTTGGTTTTTAGGATATTAAACTTGTTTCGCCAAATTCAGATGATAAATGCAACTTTTAAGCTTGTAAAGGCATAATTACAAGCGGTAACTTAACGTCACAGCAGGCATAACAACAGCCGGTGTTTCTTGTGAGTGTTGCCCCGGGAAACAAACACAAGACACACAAACGCGTCACAGATTTTTTCGCGGTATTTGGCTGCCGAACGAAATCATGTACGCAGCTCGCGACGTAACTAGGAGTCTAGTGGACGGTATCAGTACAACAAATAAAATATATTTTAAATTAATTACGTTGTTTATAAATTAATCTGAGGGCCGCAAAAGAGGAGGTGCCGCAATTTGCCCATCCCTGCTCTGGAGAAACGTACTGGTTTTGTTGTTGTCTAATTAAGACTTAAATAATCCGAGTTAAAGGAACTGAATTGTTGAGGTAACGTTTTTATTGGCATTTTACCAGAAGCCTTCAGAGATACTATCATTAATGCAGTCTTGGCTTCAGTAACAAGTGATTTTATTATTTACACACAGCTTGTCTTTGAGATGATTTCATCTAAATCACTGAAAGAGTTAAAGGCACAATCTCCAAGTCCTCATGATTTCACATGCTTCAAAAATACCTCACATACAGAAGAAGTAAAAAACAAAACCGTCAGTAAAATGTAAAACATGTCTTTCTTATTCACAATCGGCACTGCATGTATTGCCTTTATTTTGCACACAACCCAAAACCATTTCTATCTTTGAGGATTCAACGTGCTTTGACCTGTTTTGCAATGTCAGCAGTTCTTCAAATAAAACAACCTTACAAACTCAAGACATGGACAGTTAGATAAATGCCGGGGTCTTTTAACCACAACACAGTGACAGAGTCATTTTAATGAACACAGGACATAGTTTAGTGGCACAGCAGTATTATTATGTTTTCATTAACACAGTTGTCAACAAACAGGAAACAGTTTGGTTTTAGATCCTGGTTCTCGGTCTGAGATCAAACCATTTCCACCCGTGCAAACATTTACTAGTAAACGGCGCAAAATAAAAC